GGGGTTGGGGAGGGTCGCTTAGGATAGACTAGAGTTTAAAATGGAGACACTCTTGTTCATATTTTGGACAATAAAGACCTTATTTCTTACATACAGTACATTAAGAACTGTGCTTAGTACATTATGTGTGTTACCACATTTATACCCTTATGTTTTATTAGGTATAAATATAATTTCCCTGTGTTGGAAACATATAGAGGATCTAGTTAGTAACTTTTCCAAAGACATTTTCATTTATCAGTAGCAGAACTAGAATTTAAATGAAGATAAAATTGCAACTGTATAGAAGAATAGAGACTAGGGAAAGACTAATAGTTTGGTGCCAAGGAATGAGAGAGTTTCAAGATATCCTAGAATAGGCTTATGGAAATTTAAAAAATCTAAACATATGAAAGGAACATGTACCTGTTATATAGAATAGTATTGTTCAAAACAGCTGTAGTAGAGGCACTGGAAGTGGCTCTAAAATTGAAGTTTAAAAGTATGCTACTAAAATAAGAGTGAGTGGAGGTCATGAAGTTTGTGGATAGGTTATTGGTTGTAGTCCCTTTGTTGGTTATCTGCTTATAAGATTTGGATAAAATTAACTGGATTGGTACCTCTTTTTTGTGGTTTTGCTTGATAGTATTTTACTTAAAAAAATATAAATTTCTTTGTTTTGTTTTGTTTTTGAGATAAAGTCCTCATAGTGCAGGATGGCCTTGAACTCACTTATATAACAGAGGCTAGACTCAAACTCACAGTGATGCACCTGCCTCAGCTTCTCAAGTGGCGGGATTACAGGTGTGTGCCACCACACTGGAACTAAACTTCTTTTATGGACATATTTTCTAGAAATATTTTCTAACATTCTACTTTTTCAACGAAGTGTATTAAATTTATATTTGGAGTTTAGAATTTATGGATTATTATATTTTGCTTATAAGGATACATCTTTACTCGATGATGCTAATTTCCATTGTAATGTTTTAAAATAGCAGTTTTGCTTGCTTGCCTGAGATAACTGTAGAATTAATTTAAAAATTAAAATTGTGTCTAGATTTACTTGTTTCATGGTAACAGCATGTGAAAGAGAGGGTATACCTTTATTAAAGACGAACTTTATTAAGGGAATTTCAGGATAAAATTCATCCAAGTTTAGAACAAGAAGTGGTTTTGTGCTTGTCCAGCCATCCACCTATGGCCAGTGGACACATTTCTTTTTTTTCTTTCTTTTTTTTTTTTTTTTAAATCAAAGATATTTCTTTTTAACTGGCTAGTGTCATGGAAAGGATGAATAAGATCAGAGTTAGGATACTGATCCAATCCTTAAAAACGTGCAATCTTGAAAAGTTGACATCTCAAGCCTCATACTGTGTCTTTTATAGCATAGTGGTGTTAATATTATCGAAGACTGAACAGTATTCAATCAGCTAGTATTACTTTTATATACTTCTATCAGGTTATATTTATATTGAAGAAAATTCTGCCTCTCAGTAGTTTTATTTCACTGATGTCTTGGAGAACTGGAGAATCATGCTAAAGGAAACAAATTTCTTAAGTCTAAATTTCACAATGAGTTAAATTTTTGACATTTATCCAGCAACCTGCACTTGGATCACTTAAAAATGACGTTTAAAAATTTTCTCAAAGATAATGACTGAATAACTACAGTGGGCCAAGCTAGGTTGGTGGCCAGACTGTACCATCAGAAGAGAGCCACATGTCCACGGGTCTGCTTTAGTACCCTTAAGTGCTCAGGTGTGGGATGGGAGCTGCTTGTGGGAAGAGTGGGTACCATGCAAATGGAGAATGGTTTCAGAACTCCTCAGCTTGTCAGTAGTCAGTTACATTTTGTCTTGGAGGTTTTTGAGGCCCATTCTTAAAGGTGCCACATAGTATTTATTTACCTAAATCATATATAAAAATAATTTTCCTAAATTATTTTTAGTGTATCTCTAGTGTACATTTTGCTTCACTGAATAAAAGATAAGTGTAAATGTGATTCCAGGGGAGGCTCCTGTGTTGCTCTCATCACTTTTCATCTTGCAGATTCCCTTTCCAACTACTTGTGCCTCCATCATAGTAATATGGTAAATTTGGCATAGTGACGTTTCAGCAAGACTGGCTTTTCAAGATGGGCTTTGTGACCTGTCATGGTTAATTTTAAAAAATAAATAAATATTTATGTATTTGTGTTTTTGAGATAGGGTATCACTATGAAGCTCAGCCTGGCCTTCAGCTCCTTATTTAGCCTAGGTTGCCCTCAAACTCGTGGTGATCTTCCTGCCTCAGCCTCCTGAGTGCTGGATTTACAGGCGTGTAGCACCACACCCAGCTCTCGTGGTTAATTTTAATAAAATGTTATTTAAGTTGCATCTGTTTTCAATACCAGTGGACATTCTTTTAATCTGTGACTTCTTCCAGTACAGCAGTGATGCCTAACCATTTAGAGCTTGCAGTGATACCAACAGCCCCCTGTGGTATGTGTGCCATAGATTCACCCCTTTACTGGAAGAAAGAAAACTTACAGCTGTATGACAAAAGATATGGGAAGGAGATTAATCCATTCAATGTTTTTGTTACAGCTTTGAGATCAAACATATTTTGGACTTAAGATTTTTCAATTTATTTTGGTTCTAAAGTGGTATAAGTCATCTTCTTAGATTCTATTTGTGTACTCATATTGTACTTGTTTAGAGATTTTTAGGTTATTGTGTTTATTTAGAAGAACTTCATGAAGTCAGCCATGCAAACAGCTGTATACTGTAGCTGTAAATAGTGGCTCTTCAATTATATGTGACAAAACTTTACAGGCTCTGTGTCCTGTGACATTGAAAGGTTACCTTTGGTGACTGGGTTGAACAATGGATTTGTTTTTTGATATCTCAGAGTAGGGCATTCTGTCTCATACTTGTCATTTGACAGCAAAAGGAATGCTACTCTAGCAGCTCTGCATAATGTCCCTAACATTCTTCTTCCTTAGTCAGGCACTCATCAGCTGATGTGACTTTACATTCTTGCCTGTGTCATTAGTCACTCACTCTCAGTTCTCCTTTTGTGCTATTTGCCAGTTGCTTCCAAAACAAACATATTTTCTGGGCTTAAGTGGAAAAGAAAGGATATTTAAAGCACCACAAGTTTTCAGTTATTTTGGCTGTATTAGTAATTCTAACTGCTTCCATAAATTATAGACTTAATGATTGAGATATTAATGAATATTTTATTCAAGGAACTTTTCCCCAAGCTCTAATCAGCTCTGCAAATTCACAAACACGATTGGAAAATGCTGCTAAATTGAAGGGAGAAATTCTGTCTCATAAGGTACTAGATTATCTTCTATTTCTCCTGAAAATTTGCATGTGAATTTATATACAATTAATATTCTTGTTAGTGTTACTCTGGTATTTACAACAGTGCCTTATTTTGACGGACTTTGATCTCTTTTGTTAAATATATCTATAGAATTACTACTATCTGCTGATACACTTCATATGTATCCTTCTTTACATAATAAGCAACCATGGTTAAACATAATATATTTCCATGATTATATATGTTTACAGTCTTTTTAATAAGTATCTTGGTAAAAATGTGTATTGATTAAGACTTGTTCATGAGTTAGAAAAGATGATGAACCCTTAATATTATTTCTAAATTCAAGTGAATTTAATTATTCAGGGAGTTTCTTTGTATCCACAAGTGACATGTTTTTGTGTGATTGTTTTATTAAATTTAGACAACTGTATGTAAATAATTTCCTAATTATACTCTTGGAACTTACACAATCAGCAGATTAGTTGTATAAGATTCCTTCCATGTTAGATTGCAGGACCCAAGTTCTCTGGTCAAATTAGGCGATGTTATAAATGCATATTGAATTGACCTCATAATTCCTACCTGTGTTCTCACTTTGTCCTTGAAGTACCTTGAAGTAACCTTTGCACAACACTATGCTACTGTAAAATGTTTGATTATTCTTGATTATATTTGAAACTGGTTATGTTGGTTCAGCAATAACAAATATATCAAGATTTATATTCTTAAATTAGTTTTTCATTTTTCAAATGTGTTATCAATGGGGAATAATACTTATTCATCTGCATGAACAAGTATTTTTCACAGTCTTATGCAGCAGCTATTAATATTAATAATATTCTAGACATTTTAAAGATGTTAACTGACTTACCTAGTAGTTATAATTTTGGGTAGGTACTATATTTCTAAGTAGGGTAATTAGACAAAGAAGTTAAAAATTTGTTTGAAGATGCTTATAATCAAGAACATACAAGAAATAATAGTCCTTGGGCATGGTGGCCCAAGCCTATAACCACAGCATTCAGGAGACTGAGGCAGGAGAATTGTTAAAAGTTTGAAGCCAGCCTACGCTACATAGTGAGTCCAAGGCTGGCCTGAGCTACATAGTGAGACCTTGTCTCTAAAAGAAAAAGAACATTGTCAATTTTGATTATTTTTTATAATACTTCTGAAATATTTTTAAACATCTCACTGAAATGCTGCTTTAAAATGTTTAATTATTAAAGTTTATATAAATATAATGTTAATGTATATTAAAAATCATGCCAAATTAATACTTTATAAATACACACATACATGCATACACTTGTTTACATTGTCCTGTGGAAAGTGGAGGGAAGCATTGAAGGAAGGTTATTGTTGAGGGTGGAAGTGAATCTGTGATGTATTTTCAGGAACTGCTGTGCATTTTGGAAAATCTGATTTAAGACAGAAACTTTAAAGGAGGCACCAAATATAGACAGGCACAATACTTACAGGATTACTGGTGATGTCAATTTATTTAAGTAAATCAATCCACATGCTAAAGGAGCCTTTTAAAATTTTAGAGTTTTGAGAAGCAAAATAGCACCTTCAGTCAGTGCAATTGCAGATTGTATGCTAGTAGTTCTTTTAGATGTGGATTTGGATACCTCTGTTTTTTTTTTTTTTTTTAAACATGCACTGAATATTTAGATGGTTACTGTATTCGTTGATCTTTCTAGGAGTCAATCTGAAGATGTGATGCTTTCCTATGAAGACTTTAACAGATACCTTGGGAACTGCAGGACTGTAAAACTCTTTGTGCCAATAGAGCAGAGCTACATTGTGAAGATCCTTGGTATGTAAGGATATTTTTTTCTGATTAGTTATTCCAATTCATGTTGTGTGTAAATCTCATAAATATCAATGTGAATGCACCTTTATCTCTGATTTAATTTTGTCCCACACTAAGAGCATGATGGTGAAATCTATACATACATAGATTATAAAATGCTATGTGGCTGCCACTGGATACACGGTTAACTGACTTGTTCTTGCATCTTTCTTGATAAGAACACAGAATGTAGATCCTGTAGTATCTGTTGTCAAATCCTAGTTCTATTGCTAACTACCTAAAATCTGCCCACACATCAGTCTGGTTTTCTTCTAAAATGAACAGAGTAAAAGGTATCGTCATAGTACTGTTTTTGTTTTGGATTTTTTTTTTTTTTTTTTTTTTTTTTTGAGACAAGGGTTTCGCTAAGTCATTCAGGCTGGCCGTGAGCTCACTTTGTAGCCCAGGCTGGTCTTGAACTTGCAATGATCCTCTGCCTCAGCCTCCCTAGAGCTGGGATTACAGGCCTGTGCCACCATGCTTGGCTAGTACTGTTGTTATTAACTTAGAACAGAATTTCCATTTCCTAAATGGATAAAAGCATTAGCTTTTTATTATTCTTATGTTTATTCCTGAAATACTATGTTTTCCAGACTCATTCACTATCTTGATGTATAGACAAGAGAATGTTCAAAATTTTGGAGTGAATGCCTTTGGTAGACACATTGTAATATAACTAAATCACTGTCATGTAATTCACTATATCCCTTAATTTAAAAAGAATGCTATTTTTAAATAACTTTTCCTTGTTTATTATCATTATCACAATTATGTAGACAATGCAAGTTTTATAAATTCTGTGATAATTCACTGCATGCAATTCACTTATCTGTTTTAGATGTCTTTTATTGTGAGCCTTTAGATTTATTTCAGTATCACTGTTTTAATTATACAGATATCTTGGTACTAGGAGGTTTATGAAGAAGCTTATTAAAAATTTCTTGACTAAAAATGCTTTGAGGAAAAAATAGTCTGATTGTTGTTTTCAAAGACATCCTGTTAATGGTCTCTTAGGAGAACTGGTAAAAGAAATTGCTACTTCTGTGGCCATATTTTCTGTGTCTGGTGATTGTGGTGTATCTGCTTTAGGCTTGGTGGGAGTACATATTTGATCAGCTTTGTCAACTTGCGTCACTGTGGCTGGCTGGCTGGCTGGCTTGTTTTCTTTCTTTCTTTCTTTCTTTCTTTCTTTCTTTCTTTCTTTCTTTTTCTTTCTTTCTTTCTTTCTATCTACAAGATGTCGCTATAGAAGTCTAGGCTCAGTCTAGGCCCAGTAGTCCTCCTGCTTTAATCTCTCAAATTCTGGGCCTGCAGTTGTGTACCACCACACCCAGAAACAGTGGCTGTATTCTAGACTGTATTTTAATCAATGCCTATTACATACCTCCCAGTGCCAGTAGATAAATTATTTCTGTTCATGGTTTTCTGGTGCAGTGGGGAAGATCCTGAGGTTCCTAAATAGCATAGGTTCTAACGGTAGCGCTAAACAGCACCTGAGATCTACACAAGAAGCCAGCAGTAGTGTGGTATGTTGTTCCCTATATCGTTTTATGTGTGCATTGCTCTTATGGAACAGCTTGCTTGACCTGACTTTTGACTTTCTAGGTTTTCTTTTTTTAAATTGATTATTTTTATGAAAAAAATGTCAATAAAACAAGATAGTAATAATAGTTCATACTGTCTATCATTGTCTTCAATGTTGTTAGTCATTGTACAAGACATGAAAAAGATTCTCTTACAAAGAAACAGGGAGTGGAATAAAACCTTTTTAGTGAATTAAGAGAAACTAGTTGTGTAGATAAATTAGTATGTATATTAAAATATTTTTTTAAAAAATGGAATACGGAATTTGGGAAATGATTTTAACTTGGCCTCACTTGGTATTTAACTATTTTTTAATTGTTCTTTATTTGCATTATATATACAAGTATTGTTTGTCATATAAGAGAAACCGTGTGATATTTAAGCTTCTGTTTCTGACTTAATATCACTTTATGTTCTTAAGTAATATTTACTTACCTACAAATGCTTCATTTATCTATATTTTTAACAGAATACTCCATTGTGTATAAATATATTTTCCATATCCAATCATGTATTGATGGGCATATGTGCTGTGTCCAAGATCCAGTTGTTATAAATTGTATATAACATGGGTATATGTATCCCCTGTAATATGATAATTTTAACTCTTTTGGAAAGATGCCTAGAAAAGGTATAGCAGGACCAATGGAATTCTAGTTCTAATTTTTTGAACAATCTCCACACTGATTTCCCTAATGGTTGTTCTAGTTTATATTTCTACCAGCAGTGTAGAAGAGTTCCTTTTTCCAAAGCATTTCTTATTATTAGAATTTTTGGGGCTGGGGATTTAGCTCAGCGGCATAAGCACCTGCCTTGCAAGCAGGCAGTCGTGAGTTTGATCCCTGGTACTGATAAAAACGAAAAAGACAAAAAAAAAAAAAAAAAAGAATTTTTGATGATAGCCATTCTTTCTCAAATAAGATGACACTTTTGTTTGTTTGCTTGTTTCTTTGAAACAGGGTCTAGCTGTGTGTTTCAGGGTAGCTTTGCACTTACTTTGTAGCCCCGGCTGGCCTCAAACTCATGATAATACTCCTGCTTCAAGCTCTTGGGGTTATATGTGTGTGCCATTGAACTCAGTCAGATAATATCTTAATGTAGTTCTAATTTGAATTTCTTTAATGGCCAGTGATGTGGATCATTGTTTTCATGTATTCATTGTCACTTGTATTTGTTTTGAGAAGTGTTTTTTCATTTTGATTGCCCATTTTTTGATTGGATCATTTATATTGGGTAGTCTTAAATTTTTTGAGTTCTTTATATATTCTAGATGTTAATCTTTTGTCTGAGGAAAAACTGGCAAAAGTTTTTTCTCCATATTCCATAGGTTGTCTCTTCACTCTGTTGGTTTGCTGTGTAAAAACTTTTTAATTTGATATTATCCTTTTTGTGAATTCTTGGTATTCTCCTTGTGCCACTGGGATTCTGTTAAAAAAGGTCCTTGCCTATGCCTATGTCTTCAAGACTTGTACCTATTTCTTCTTCCAGAAGATTGTTTTTATTTTAACATATATATATATATATATATATATATATATATATATATATAACTGATCTATTTTGATTTAGTATAGTGCATGATAAATATATTTATCTAGATTTAATCTTCTATATGTAGATATCCAATTTTTCCAATACCATTTATTAAAGAAGCTATCTTTCCTCCTGTGTATGTTTTCGTTCCCCTTGTCAAAGATGAAATAGTATATGCCTGGTTTTGTTTGTTTTTCTGTTCTGTTCCGTTAACTGACAGGCCTGTTTTTGTGCCAGTAGCATGCTGTATCAATCACTGTAGCTTTGTAACATAACTTCAAGTCTAAGATTGTGATGCCACTGGCTTTCCTTTTGTTATCTAAGATTATTTTTGTTATTCTGGATCTTTTCTTTTTCCCTTTGAATTTTAGGGTTGTTTTCTTTGTGTCTTTAAGAAATGCCATGGTATTTTATTGAAATTCCATTAAATCTGTTTATCAGTATGGATTTTATTGGTCCTACCTATCCAGATACAAGAGACATCTGTTTTCTAATGTCCTCTGTTTTAGAATGATGTTATTTTACTATAGATGTCTATTTATTATTTATTTGCTTAAGTTAATTCCTAGGTATTCAGTTTTTCCTGATGTCACTGGTGGTGTTCTGATTTTTTTCTTCAGTGAGTTCTTTATTAGTGTACAGGGATACTATTGATTTTTATGTGTTTATTTTGTGTATTACTACATTGCTGAATTCGATTATTAATTCTCAGAATCTTGGAGTTTTTTGATTCTTAAGAGAAAGGACCATGTCATCTGGAAATAATGATATATTGATTTCATTCTTTCCTACACCTATTTGTTTTATTTCCTTCTCTTGCCTGATCTTTCTCTGGCTAATGCGTTGAGGACTGTACTTATAGATATGGTATTAATGGACATCTTTATCTTCCTAATTTTAGAGAAGGCTCTCAGCTTTTCTCTATTTAATATAATGGTAGCAATAGGTTGGTCATAAATGTCTCTAATTAGATTGAGATGTGGTCCTTTTATACCTGTTTTCTTCAGAGTTTTTATCATGTATGGATATTGAATTTTGTCAAAGGCTTTTTCTGTCTATCTGAGATGATTATGTACTTTTTTTGCTCTTGGTTCTTTTATGTGATAAATTATGTTTATTGTTCTATGTATATTGAACATCCTAGCATCCCTGGGATAAAGCCTGCTTTGTCATGTTTTATGATCTTTTTGATGTTTTTTGCTTTCTGTTTGCCAGTATCTTGTTAAAGATTTTGCACCCATCTTCATCAGCAAGATTGGCCTGTAGCTCGCTCTCTCTCTCTCTCTCTCTCTCTCTCTCTCTCTCTCTCTTTGTCTCTCTCTCTTTCCCCTCATTGGATCCTCATCTGCTTTAGGGATCAGGATAATATTAGCTTCCAAAAAGGACTCTAGAGTACTCTTTTTTCTCTCAATTCATTAAAGATTTTGAAGAGTACTGGTGTTAAATCTTCCCTGAAGTTCTTGTAGAATTTGATTGTGAATTCATCAGGTCCTATACTTTTCATAGTTGGTAGTTTTTAATCATTATTATTGCTTCAGTTTTATTGTCTGATACTGGGTTGTTCAATATTTTTAAGTCTTGGTTCGGTTTTGGTAATTCTTATGTATCTAGGAATTTCCATTTCTTTTGAGTTCTTCAGATTTTTGCCATATGTCTTTGTGAACCTGCTAATCGTTTTCTGGATTTTGGTAGTGTCATTTGTGATTTTCTCCTTTTTCATTTCTAAATGTATTGATCTCTCTCTCTCTCTCTCTCTGTCTCTCTCTCTGTCTCTCTCTCTGTAGTATTGGCTAAGGGATTGTCTATTATGTTCATTCTGTTATGGAACTAGCTCTTCAATTCATTGA